GGCTGCTTCCATGTTTTTCCAATTGTAAATAAAGCAGCAATAAACATGGGGGTGCAGGTATCTTTTTCAATCAGTGTTTTTGTGTCAAAGACAAGTTTTTTGAGATGAGAAACTTTTTAACAAATCCCATTGCTCCCTGGCCCCTAGTGGTAATCAACCCAGCTCTGCTTCCTGGGCCCAGGCCCAGAGTTTCTCCCTAAAGATAACCTTTGTCCCCTAGGGTCATACTAACTGAGTATACACGATGTATGGCCAGCGGCCAGGAAAATGTAGTTGCCGGAAAAGGATCTCCAAAAAGATGTAAGACCTGAAACCTCTTTCCTCTATGGACTGGAAGGGAGTGAAAAGTCAGGGTCTCCTTGCCTGCAGATAGATTAACTCTTAGAGGTATCCAGAAACATTTCCTGGAAGGTGGAGTGAATACACAGTGGCTTCAGCTTGATGGTAATGTCTAGAGTGCAGAGCAGGGGGAAGGTGATGTTGAAAGAAGAGGCCTTGGGTTGCATTGGAAACCCAGGCTTTTAACAACCAAATGGAGAACTGGACCTCTGGTTTAGAGAAACTATACCAAGAGAAAATGATAAGGAAATATGCTGCAAAATAATCCATACAATCACATAAAATAAGCTCACACAATTACTTCTTAATTGCAAGCACTTTTTTTTTTTTTTGCAACTGCTAAATCAGAGTTGCTGTTAAGTGTGTGGAAGCTATGAAGTTACTGAGTTTACAATCTAGATAATAGGGTCTATTGAAAAATGATAAATGCTGTAGCAGAGGCACTTATAAGATGCTTTTGGAATCCAGAGAAATGAGAGGTTAATTCTGCCTGGGAGAAGGTCTGAGGAATCACAGAGAAGTGATATCTGAGTACTTTTCGGCTAAGAAGTTCATCAAAGGTTTTTCAGGAAACACAATTTATTACCAAAGCTATAGCAATATCCAGACATAAGACATATGGCAGACGTGAGAAGTTTTGAATTCCTTGAATAGCTATCAGATCCTGAGTGTGGGGTTACTAATTAGGATGGTAGGTGGAAGCTACATATTGCAGCTTTTTATGACATGTTAAGACGGAGCTGCATCTACATATGTAAGTATGTTCTTCTACCCTGAATTGATTCACAAAGCTAGTAGGTAGCTAAGAGTGTGAGTTTTAAGCTGACACTGGAGAGTCATTAAGTGAGTTTAGTAAGGGAGGAAAATGACCAGATTAGGAAGGTTTCACTGATGGCTGGATAGAAGAGGGGCAGAAAGGAACAGCAGGAGGATATTAAAATGATCTCTACGAGATAATAGGCTGCAGTAGGGCAGGTGAGAAAAGATGGAGACTGAGACAGGCAAGGGAGTGGGGGTCACTTAACCCCCACCGCTGCTACCCTGTCTCTCCCTTTCCACCCCTCCTTCTTTGGCTCCATTCTCCCCTCAGTTCCACCACCTTTCCATCTCCCCTTCCTTCACCTGCTCTATTCCTTCATCTCTCTGACTCAATCTTTTTCCTTATTCCTTAGCTATTCTATTTCTCTTATTTCAATATTTTCCTTTCTGTTCTAACTTTGTACTCAGTAACATCTAAGTCTTGTTCCTTGCAGAAGAGCTCTCTGAGCTCTTCATACAATAGTCTATTCCTTAACCCAGAGATTCTCTCTGCCCTTCTCGCCCTTGTCTCAGCATATACAATTCCTGTGTCCTATTGTTACAGAGCAGGGAGAGGGGGGCACCAGTGAGCCCCAAATCTGCCTCCTCTAAGTGGGTTCTGCCATCCGCCGCATGAAGACAAAACATATAAGACTTTAATGAAAAGGGACTTTAATACAGTGAGTATACAGCACAGAAGACAAAGAATATAATTTTGAAATCAAACACCGGAAGCTACCCATCCCGTCGTGGGTAAAAGTCTACCCAAAAGGGATTGGTCCAAAGCAAGGCCTGAAATCCCGCCACAAGACTAAAGCAGCTCTGGCCAGCTGCTTTAGGGTCAGCAATAGCCAGACAAGTCTGGGAGGAAAAGAGCACAATCAAAATCAATATAAACAACTGCCATAGTCAACCTCCCTATGGGTCTCTCACCCACATCTCTTTCAACCAGCCCAGGGCCAAGAAATCAACACGTTTTCTTCACATGTCTCCCTTTGCTCCATGGGGCTTCCTCAGGTCTCCTCTGGCTCTCCATCCTGCTTCCTTCTTTCTCCTCAGATTCCTTCTCCTCCCTCTCTTTTCTCTGCTCAGCTCCACCCTCCTTCTGGGTGGGGCAGGGAACCTGCAACTTCCCCTTTTCCTGGGGACCACCCTGTTACAATATCCTCATCAATCAGGGGGCCTCCGCATCAATACGGGGTGGGGTGCACACTCTAGTGCTATTCACCCACACAGTAGTCAACACTCATGGTTTTTCAGTACTGACTCTGAGCATGGCTGGGTGCTGCAGGGAGCAAAAATATTATAAGATACAGATTTATACCTTGGGGAGCTTAAAGTTGAATTATGGAAGAAAAACAGACATGTGAAAAAACTGTTAAAATTATAATGTGTTAAATTTTACTTGAAGAATGATTGTTAAAAAAAATCTATTGGAGACTGAGAAGGGAGGATGTCCTGAGAGACAAGAGAGTGAAAACCTGTTATATTGTAGGCTCTGTGGCAGGAAGATTACAAGTATCATTCTATGTGAGCTGTTAGAAAATTTCATAAAGAAAACACTTTTATTCACAGCTCATAGATGTGGAACTGAGACTCAAAGAGATCAAGTAACTTATTCATGTTCTAATCTCAAGAAAATGGAAAAACAAATTTTTTAAAAGATTTATTTATTTGTGCATACAGAACTAGGGTACAGGCCAGAGATGCAGAGGGTGAGAGGATTCACCAGACAGAGTGGGGAGCAGAACAGGCAGATCGATTAAGTACACTGCTGAGGGGAGCAGCGGGCGGGTCAGGAGAGGTCTGCCGGCCATGTGGATCTCCTCCGAGGCAGGCGGGGATCAAACTCATGAGGAAGTGGCTTTAGCTTCTTAGTGCTGTGCTTTAACCCGCTGCGCCACCAGGGAGGGACGGAAAAACAAATTTGACTTGGGTCTGTGGGATTCTAAGTATTTTCCTACTACTATACAGTATTGACTACGGTTCTGATTATTACCGCTTTATAACACCGCATGTGATTTAGGAGAGGAGGTTCACACCTCCTCAGATGTCGGTCACCACACTGATACTGAAAGCCAGCCTCATTTTCCCCCAACCAATAAAAGGAAACAGAGTTTGAGGCAAAGGAAAGTGGTTTGATGTGTTGACAAATGAGGATGACAGCAGACTCATGTCTGAAAGACCACTGCCTGCTCTTTGTCAGGGTGCAGGTATTTTTGTACAAAGGGAGAAAAAAAGGGGAAATAGGCAAGGGTCTTCAAAGAGGAGGGGCGAGGGGCTGGCACAGATACTGGAGGCAGAGACCAGCTGGTGACAGCTTGCTTTCTTCAACAACTGCTGTTTAACCCCATTTTCCTTGGAATACAAGAAGACAAGTCTGTCCACAAGGGGGCAGTTGCAAGAAACAGGGGAAAGACAAACTGTTAATGCTTAGCTGAGAGACCCGTCATTTGTAACTGCATGATAATAACTCTCAAAAGCAGGCGTAGTACTTTGAAAGGCAGCCTGCTTATCTCTGGATGACATTAAGGTAGCTCATAAGTGTAATTCCCTAGAGAGAAGTCCACTAAATCACAGCTCTGCTAAGGACCACACATGAGGGTGTCCATCCTATGTATCCAGACAATCTCCGTTCTGAGGTCCAGTGTCCTAGAAGGACTAGTAGTGACTTTCACATGTCTATGTCTGGTTCGTTTTCTTTAGGTGCATGGAGAGGACACCATGGAGCCAGGAAACCTGACCTGGGTATCAGAGTTTGTTTTCCTGGGGTTCTCACGGATGTGGGAGCTCCAGGTTTTCCTATTTGTGGTGTTCCTGTTTGTGTACACCACCACTGTTGTGGGAAATCTCTTAATTGTGGTCACAGTGACCTCAGACTCCAAGCTCCACACACCCATGTACTTCCTGCTGAGAAACCTGGCTATCTTAGACCTCTGTTTCTCGTCAGTCACTGCCCCAAAGATGCTGATGGACTTCCTCTCTGAGAAGAAGACCATCTCCTACCAAGGCTGCATGGCCCAGCTCTTCTTCTTCCACTTTCTGGGAGGTGCCATGGTCTTCTTCCTGTCTGTGATGGCTTATGACCGCCTGGTGGCCATCTCCCGGCCCCTCCACTATGTCACCATCATGAACACTCAGCTCTGTGTGGGGCTGGTGGTGACAGCCTGGATGGTGGGTTTTGTCCACTCCATCACCCAACTGGTGCTGATGCTCCCATTGCCATTTTGTGGCCCCAACATCCTGGATAACTTCTACTGTGATGTCCCACAAGTGCTGAGACTGGCCTGCACTGACACCTCCATCCTGGAGTTCCTCATGATCTGCAACAGCGGGATGCTGGACGTCATCTGGTTCATACTGCTCCTGGTCTCCTACTCCATCATCCTGGTGATGCTCAGGTCCCACTCAGAGCAGGCCAGGAGGAAGGCGGCTTCCACCTGTACCACCCACATCATCGTGGTGTCGATGGTGTTTATTCCAAGCATTTACCTCTATGCCCGGCCCTTTGTCTCCTTCTCTCTGGACAAGGCTGTGTCGATCAGCCACACAGTCATGACCCCCATGCTCAACCCTATGATCTACACCCTGCGGAACCAGGAGATGCAGGCGGCACTGAAGAGACTAGGGAGGCGCCGGCTGGCTGGTAGAATCGAGTGACATGGGTACGTTACTGCCCTTTGGCTCTGTTTCCCATCAGTCAAGCAAAGAGAGTCACAGTAGCTGGTCTCTTTATCTTAGAGATGGCGTGAGAGTTGTTACAGAAGTGAATGTGTTTTGAAACTAAGCAACTTACTCAGATTTTTAGGAAAAGGGAAAATATCCTTATTTTTGTTTATAATGGGAGATTGGAACAGTCTATGACAAAAGCGATGTTCTCATGGTCCCTTGAACGCTATCCCCTCTTCCTTTTTTTTTTTTTTAAAGATTTATTTATTTATGCTTACAGAACTGGGGTATAGGCCAGAGGTGTGGTGGGTGAGAGGATTCGCCAGAGACAGAGTGAGGAGCAGAACAGGCAGAGCTACAGAAATACACTGCTGAGGGGAGCAGTGGGCAGGTCAGGAGAGGTCTGCTGCTCCATTTGGGTCAGCTACCTGGCCAGGGATAAAACTTGTGCTGCAGTGGCTTCAGAGAGCTTTATAATGCATTAATCCATTGCGCCACCAGGGAGAGCCCTCTTTTCTGACTTTTTTTTTTTAATTTAATGTAATAGTTTATTTTTACATCATTTTGTGCCTTTTTCCATCTCTCTTCTGCCTTTTTGATGGTCAGTTTCCACTATGATGACAGCAGAGTAAAGGTTGTTCAGTTGTTAAGATTTCGACCTCTTTTCAGAATACCCTGTTTCGGTGTGAGATCCACTTGTTGGAAACAGCACAGGTTGTAGAGTTTAAGGCTTAAATTAGAAGCCCTGACCCATCACCTACTAAACTGGTGGCCTCAGATGGGGCAGGAGACCCAACTTAATCTTGGGGCTTCTTTCTCAATAGAATTGTTTAGTTTAGTTTGTTTAGAACAATCTTACCCCAACCTCCCAGATTTATATTCAGAATCAAAAAAACGTTGTGTGAAAAAGCATTGGGTAAACAATATAGCTTTTTTCCCCGTTAGTCTTTTTGATAGTTTTCAAATTTGAAATCAATCCTATTTTTCTCTTTACATTTTTAAGGTAGTAAAATTGTTACAAAAATTATGTGTAAAACACATGTAAATTATAAAAGTTATATTACATTGTTTGAATGCTCTATTCGAGAACCAGAAGTTACCGATAGCTGATCCTTTCCAGGGGGTCCTTCTCATCATGTTCATGGTCCAATGAAAGTCCCAAATGAAGCCACATCCTTGGGTTTTGTATTTATTATTCCATTGCTTGTAAAAGCAGTTTCATCACATTTTACATGTTCAGTATATTGTTTTGCTTTGTTATTTGAGCTTATAAAATATACCTTACGTAATACTCAGAGAATTGTTTCATTCACTCACTGTTTCTAATCTCCAAAAATTGTTCTATTTGACTGTATAGTTTATTCATTTGCACTGCTATATAATTTCTACTGGGAGAATAAGCTTATCTGGGTTGTATCCATTTTTTATTCTTGCAACAGTGTTATTTTGAATATTCCTCTACTTGCCTCTAGTTGCCATGGGTTTTATACTTTGAAGTAGAATTGCCAAATCTCCAGATCCTGAAAGTTTAACTTTATGGAAGATTGCCAAATTGTTTTCCGAAGTTGTTGTACCAAATCACATGCTCACCAGGAGTTTGGCACCTGGGTTCACATACATCAAACAGCTGATATTTTCAGGTTTCTTTTTTTTTTTTTTAACTTGTGTTTAAACTATATTATAAAGCAACAGCAACTAAAACAATAAAGTATTGAAATAAAAATAGACACAGGGATCTATACATATGTTAAAACCTGTTTTATGACAAAGGAGCCACAACCATATAATGGAGAGAGGAAAAATCTCTTTCACAAATGGTCTTTGGAAAACTGGACTGTAAAAGAACGAAACTGGATCATTCGCTAGTTCCACACACAAAAATCAATTTAAAATGAGTTAAAGATTTGAAGGTAAGACCCCAACTATAAAATACATGTAAGAAACCAAGGTGATACATCCCATAACATCAGTGACAAAGATGTCCTGGGGGACTCAACCCCAGCCACAGGGGAATTAAAAGCAAAATGAACAATTGGGCCTGCATCAAATTGAGAATTTGCACAACAGAAGAATAGCAGCAGTTTAAAATGGCAGGCTATTGAGTAGGAGAAAACACTTGCATGTTGCACATTCGGTAGAAGATTGATATTCAAGGTATATGAAGAATGCACCAATTTAACAGGAGAAAATCCAGCAGCCCAATAAGAAACAAGTGGAGGATCTGAGTAGCTGCTTTTGCAGAGAAGATAAACAGATGACCAACAGACATGTAAAAGGATGCTTATCATCATGTTTTATTAAAGAAATGAAGATAAAAACAACAATGAGATATCATCTCATACCTGTGAGAATAGCTGACATCAGAAAGACCACGATCAACAATTTTTGTTGAGGAGGAAGAGTAAGCTGAGTCCTTTACACTGTTGGTGGGAATGTAAATTGGTCAGCCATTTTGGAAAATGGGCTTTAAAATCGGCTGAAACTTTAAATATTGGGAAGAATTAGTATTTTAAAATCTATATTTGTTGTATGTGAATGAACACAGTGTTCTTACATGCCAGAAGAACTTTATTTTGCTAAATATAAATAAATTGCAATGCAAAAACTAGGATCATGAATATCTCATGAGAACCAAGACCTCACCTAAGAAATCACAGATTTTGTAGCACATCAAGGTTATAAAGTCAATTAATTCTAATTCTAAACAGTTTCTCATAAAAGAAAATATATGTGCTTCCTGTACAAGTCCTTATGTGAAAAGTACTTTATTGAGTCGCAATTCATATGTGAAAAGTACCACGTATGTAGTAATGGACTTGGATATGCGTGGGAAAAGTCAACTTGGGGGCTGATGGGTGCAGTACCTGTCCTACCAGATACAAAAGGAAGCAATCTTAAACAAGCTTCTTTGCTTAACAAGTTTATCTTTCTGCAGTCTAAGAAAAAGAAAGAATGTTCCTAAACATAATATGGGAACTAAAATCACGGGGTTAACAAAGCTGACCCTTGCCAATCTCCAGAGTTCTGCATCAAAAGGCCATGGCAGCCCTTTCCCATTTCCCTTTTGAAAAGCTCCTTTGTAGGAATACCCCTACACCCTGCCAGAGAGCAGGGCAGTGGTCTTGCAGACATGAGTCTACAGCCCTCTTCACATTGACAAATTAAACTACTGAAGGAATGGAGGAAGTAACGCAGGACTGAGCAAAACTAGATTAGCCCAGGCAAGTACCCACCCCCTCATCCCACCCCCCGGAATTCAGGATAGGTTGAAGAAGGACAATGTACATTTAAAATTGATTGGATAATGGAAATGGTGTGGCCCAGGCTGATTGGATCTGAGGCACCAGGAAATAAGACATCTATTCCTGGAAACCTGTCATTGGGTGGTTGAACTGTGACCCAGGCTGTGATGTCTGTTAATCCTTGAATCCATTTGCTAAGTTGAATTTGCGTGGGCTCTGACGTATGTAACAGCCAACAAGGCCAATATATTTCCTGACTTTTCTTTGGTCGGGGTCTTGCCTGAATCCTGCGTGTCCGGCAGGGAACGGCTTGACCCTGGCTAGCCAGCCCAATAAACTCTACTTTGCGAATTGCATTCTTGTGTGACGCTCTGTCTTTCACGGTAATCGAGTTCTCGGACCCTAACACTACTTTCCTTCTCAAACTGTTTCCTTGTATAGGCTGGGGGAAACTGAGGCTGGTGTTTGGTATCATGATTGCAAAACAAAAGACTTCAACAGGGTTTTGGTTTCCAGTGGCATATACAAACATTTACCCATGTACGATATTCCCACATTAAGATCAATTCAAATTTTAATATAAGATATCAAAGCAGTTGTTTGATGATGCTGTGAGGGGGAACTGTCATGTTGACAGAGAACTTGAAATTTGAAGTCAATGATTCAAATTTCTAGCTCCATCTAAGACCTATTACATCAAAACTGCTGTATGGAGCTTTTGAATTTTAACACGCTTTTCAGGTAATGCAAAATGCACCATAGCACGAAGATATGGGGCTTTCTAAAAATCTCAGAAGGCACTCTGACCTGCTAATCCTGTATTTCCTATCTCTACAGTTTCAAGGTCGTTGGTGGGGGTTTTGCCCCCAAGGCAGACCTCTCAATAGAAAGTATTTTTGGCAGACTTAGAAACTTTTAACAACTCCCATTGCTCCCTTTCCCACCATGGGGACCAGCTGTTCCTAAGCCCAGGCCAGTAATTTCTCCCAGAGGATATGGCGCCTCTCCCCCAACCCCCTAGGCCAGGTCCATCAGCAGTGTGTGTGAGGTGAGACCAGGGACAAGGACATTGTGAGGCCTTCGGAGGAGACCCTCCAGAAAGATGAAGACCTGAATGCCTTCTCTCCCACTCAGGCTGAAGAAGGTAAGAGTTTCCAGCGAACAGGTCAGCTATAACTGTAATCTAGGGTGTTGAAAACATCTCTTGGGGGCAGGGAAACATTCACAGCAGTAGCCTTAGCAGTGGTCATTCCAGAAAGTGGGGAGAGAATTGGGAATAATCAAGTCAGATGTGCTGTTAAAAAATAGCTTATTTAGCTTGCGTGTAAAAACCAGTAATTTTAGCAACCAAGCATAGAAGTTGCCTTGCGGTATCAGACATGGGATAAGGAAAGTCCCTAAAATACTCTAAAGAGTGAAGGCCATATGATCAATTACCTTCTCAACACATTCATTTGATAACATTTATTGAGCATGTGCTATGTCAAAGTCATTATTTCAAGTTCTGGGGCTACTGCAGATGAGAAATTGAGGTGTAGTTAGTTGAGAAGAGAATCTGGTAGAGATGAATGATAACACCATAACAACAGTATTTGAAAAATATTAGAAGAACTCAGAGAAATGGAGAATTCATTCTGCTTAGCAGAAATAGTGAAAGTGTTATGGGGCAGGGAGAGGGGCACCCCAGAACCCCCAAACCTGCCCACTCTAAATAGGGTCTGTCAATCACTGCATCAAGAAAAAAACATA